TGCCCAAACTTCTCTCCCGTTGCCTCTCGTACCATGCCAGCAGACAACCCATCTGACTCACAAACACGCTTGTCACCAGATTGGAGGTGTCCTGCACCCATGATGTTCCGTTCCACACAAAGAAGAGCTGCTCTCGACTCTTTTCTGTCTCGTTTGTTGTCGCAAGGATTCGCCCCTCGATCATGTAAAGGTACGCAAATAGACGCCCAAGATTGGCATACGCTTGAGGAGCCGCATGTTCGATGACAATTTTGAGGAGCAAATCTTGAACGGCTTGGGATCCTCTCGTATATTGAGTGATTGCTTGCATATCGTTGTGCTGGTCGACCGGCCTTGAGCTCGCATCTTGCAAGGCCGCTTTGAGGTTGTCAAGAACCCCAAGTACTCTGGCCGGTTTATGAGAGCACTCGACCCCATGACAGCGATAGGAAACAATTCGGCCTCTCTTGAGGAGATTAAAGTTGTTGCTTCCAGAGTGCATATGCCCAAAAAGGCACCTTCGCGGCCCGCGCGTCCGGTAGCAATAGTATGTCCCGTAGAGACCATGCGACAACGTGCTTGCGTATGTGCTGCTTGAGTCGCCGGCTTTCTTCAGCATCTTCGATAGCTCTCCCAGCAAGAGCTCTCTGCCGTGTGGACGATCGTTGTTGGAGATTGGGCGATTGAGCTCAACGCCCGCACCTTTGGCTTCTTCGCTGGACTCCGGCACATCGATCCTTGCTCCTAGAGTATCGTAAGTTGTTTCCTCTTCCTCCTCGCTTGCAGCTGCACGTTGGCCTGCGTGATTATTGACCAAGTCAACCAAGAACCTAAGCATCTCTTGGCACGCGTCATAGCTTGGTGGACCATTCTGCCATTGGTAAGTTGCGAGTTCCCCTTGGCCGTTCACATAGCTCGTTGGTTCGGCAAAAACAATCCCTCCCATTCCACGGCCATCCACCCCATACGACTTGTCACCAACCTTCACACCCTGAAAATTCCGTTTCCACTTTAGGCCCGGTGAGTCGAGTTTAAAGTATAGATGTATTCCTCCAGAGCCCGTCCGCGCCGTCAAGGTTTTCGGCTCTCCGTGGGTCTTCACCAGTTGCTCATAAAGCTCAATCCCTGGTCGCTTAGCATCGGAATTTTTGTCAGACACATCGATATCAATCACATAAATGCGACTCACACCTGCAAGTATTGCAAGCCCGTTCCAATCTCGGCTTTCTGCCAGTGCAGGATTGATAAATTTGCCCCATAGCTCTGGATTTGTAACGTCACGATACGTGTGGGGACATTTGGGCTCTTTTGACTCGTTCTTTTGATTCCAAGAAAGGCGCACGGGAATTGCAAAGAGCCCGTTCTCGCAAAGCTTTTGAATCTCCCTTGCAATCTTTCGAGGGCCTAGGGTCTCGAGCTCGCCGGATGCCAGGGCCCTAGAGCCGCTAGCTTGCTGATCGCTGGAGACGGCCATCGTTTCTATGGTCTCCTGAGGAAAAAATCTGATGTGATCAAACGCACCCCGTTAGCCTGACCTTGCGTTTGCTTGCATCGATTTTTTCTGAAGCATTATCTTAGAACATTGTCATGGTCCAATGCGCCTTGCCCAACAATCACGAGAGCCATCCATGCACATGCCGCAGCTGTGAGACTCATCGAGCATATCGAAGAGAGCACTCTGCTGAGCACTCTGAGCATGTGAAAAGGTATTACATCAGACATCGAGAAGCCATTCTATTGCAAAAGGCCTACAAGCGGTACCTTTCGGGAGGCACAAAAAAGTTACATAAACAAACATTGGTCCGTTTGGCAAACGCTGGCTTCGACGTTCCTCAGATGCCCCCATCAAATCTGATAGACCTCGGTGTTTTGCTAGGATTGTTCACGGAGATCGAAGTCTCCTGAAAGAGATGGCCAGGGGGTTGAGCACAATGCGAGTCGTTTACTGGAATTGAATACGCGAACCATCTGGTCTATAGTGGAGCTCGTAGTGGCGCATTGCAATTGGCGCTGTGTGCAACATTGACTTGGCAAGCTGGTCCCTTTCATAGAGACTTGGCGAATCCTTCATAGCATTGCTCACCGTGATTTTTCTCAAAAGGCACGAACCGAGATTTGAATCGGGGTAAATGGCCGCGAGGAATTTAGTCAAGTAACCCGATCCCATTGGGGCATCTGGTGTCCTCATTCGGCTGAGCAGGTACTTTCGCGGGAAGATAGCAAGACTTTCAGCGATCACGTTGCCAAGTCGGATTGGTATGTCAAGAACCTGCGGCCCGTGTGTCTTGTCGGTCTTGTACGTGTTCAGATGGAGCCTATAGCTGCCCTTTGCATACTCTAGAAGGTAGTTGCGGGATCCCGCCATCAGCTCACGCGCGGCAGTGCTACCAACCTCTTCGAAGCGCACGATGGGAAGATTGCTCCAATCATTGCGAATCGCCGGCATTTGTGTGTACAAACAGAGCACGAGGTAGCGACAGAGCGTCACTTTGTCTCCAACTGTGACCTCTTCTGGCTTTTTTGGCGCAATGGATCGATTGACTTTTCGTTGAAGCTCGATTCGGCATTGATTGATCTCGTCCAACGACTTCCAATTCTTGGCCTCACGCTCTGACATATGCTGGGGTGGCCGAGCTTCTTCCATGGCCTTTCTGATGGCAGTGTATCTTTTGAACAAAGCCTCGTAGATTCGTTGGTCGCTTGGCCAGAGCTTTCGTACGATCACCAAGAGAGGACTGATGCTCGTGGCTTGTGTGGGCAACTTGTCCGAATACATGCTATCCAGATACTCTATGATTTTGGTCGTATCCCGCACCCACTCCAGTGACTCAAAGTCAGCTCTTGGAGCATGCAGACTCTTGAAGAGTCGCATCACACGAGCACAATATTGGTCGATAGTGTATGGCTTTCGTGTTGAATCATCAAAAACGTCATGGAGTAGCCGTTCAGCTGACGTCGAGGTTCTTATAACCTTTATGTTGGCATCTAAAGCTGCCATGCCTCAACTATCTGGATAGCAAGAAAAAAAAGATGAATGGCATCTGGCCGCGAAGAGCTCAGATACCGAATATTCGTGTTCATCTTTGTTTTCACCGTTTTGGTGTGCCTAGGAGCTTTTCATGGTTATCTAGCACACAAAAGCTTCTACAACCCGGCCTGGGGGCCTTGATGCCCCTCTGTTATCGGCCGATATCCGAATACTGCCAGATACACGAATATGGGTGTACATAATCTCTATAACGGAGCCTTTTCAGCAATTCGTCTATCTAGGAGAGAGATGTTGTGGAGACTCGTGGGTAAAGCGGGCCTTGTTGAGATTTGCAAGCGCCTCTAATTCCAGGATTGGTGCCTCACTCCACACCATGCTAGGGGCATATTGGGCACTCGATGGAGAACGGGCTCGGATTTCTGAGCAAGCGCTTGGAAAAACCGACTCGCGTTCGTACGACATGTTCACTAATTGTGATTCCCTCAAGCATAGCTTCTTTGCTTGACGTTGAGCCGGAGATGCGTTTTTGAGGGCAACCCGCCAACTTATTTTAACAG